GATGAAGGATTTTGATTTATCTGAACAATGATAGGGACTTTATAGACCACCTGAAGCATGATTTTGATCCTTCGCCCTCCTATGTATCATTGAGGTGGGTCAAGATCACTCGAACTTGATCAGACACACGGAGTCTCGTCACGTTTCTCAAGACTTGAGCTCGACGAGCTGAGCGAGGATTCCACCTCATGAAGTCAACTCCTTCACTACCGAGTCTTGATGAACATCAAGAAATACAAAACCAAAGACTCGACAACTTCATCTCTCTAGAGACCAAGGTATAAATCATCCAAAAGCCTGTTCAACAATATCGACCAGACCAAAGTTTGCCGGATGACATAGAAACCTTTTCCCCCGCTCGTCAAAGGTGCCCTTTACCCAGGCGAAATGCGTTCTTACATGACGAAAAATTGATCAGATGACCTCAAAGACCCATGAGGGTCAATTTAGAGTTGGACTCTCGCAACTAGGCTTGGGTCGCAGGCTCCGTGAAGCTGGCATCGATGTGATCTTGACGTGAAAATAGCCGTGTCTTTCGAATTGTACCGTACATAAATTTGATTTCAAGGAAGCAAGAGCGCCGTTCATTGGAGGGCGAACAGACTCATGCATGATGTACATGTTGAAGTTTAGGAGTCCCACTAATCCATGTGTCATCCTAACCGCTATTATCCTATCAAGTCTTTCAACCTCGGTGAGGAAGAGAGAGACAGTGTCAGAGATGGGATTCTATGATCGAAAGTTTAAGGTGAAATTGAAATTCGTAGGATGATCCTGGATGGTTGATATTTAGATAAAGGTTTTAGTATAAATATGTAGTTTGAAAGTCCAGTTTGGGTCATGAAGAAAACGGTCAAGAGTGACAATCAAGAACACTGCACTATCATCCAACGAAATCATGTCAGTCGACCCAGAAAGTATTAGAAAACATATCATCACTTCTCTCTTTTCTTCTTCATCGAAAGGAAGTGCTGGTCAAAGTAAGTTGTTATCTTTACCCCCTTAAATCCCAATCAATCGATCATCTTACAAACTAACAATCTTTGTTGGATCACCTTTTCTCTAGCTGGTCAATCCTATATATCTCATTGTAAAACTTGGGAGGATGTATCAACTGGTGAACGGAAACCACGTTATATCTTGTTAGCTGGGCAGCTCTTCTTTTCTTCTTCCTAACACTCAATTTCTTAATTACTAATCTTCATCGATTGATACTCCAATCACAGTTGGACCCTTGGGACAAGTCTTTTTACACAAATCTAAACGTAATTCTAATGGTAGTTTCTTGATTGGAAAGACTTGGGATGTCATCGATCTTTGAGGGGTCGAACTGATCAATGTGCATTTCTTGCTTGCTTTCCCTACGTACCAAACCTTCACTGAAACTCGATGATTTCTAGGACTCAGCTTTCAAACTGTCACTCGGTCCGCGTTCGTACACTTGGATGGCTGAAGATGTCTACGAACGCGCCGAGTTTGTCAACTTACTCGTTTGATCTTTTTGTCAATGCGCCAATGGGAAGCTGCCATCTATGGTCGGTCTTCCTAACAATGACTACAGTTTGTGCTATTTCACTTCATTCACAGATAAAATCATTATATGTACTGGTGCTGACCTCACTGTCCTTTATCTAGCTATTCCCGCTTACGATATCCCTTCATCTGCGATTCCATCCAGTCCTTCTCATGCTCCAGTCATTCGCGGTGGAGGCTGTCCATCGCCGTCAGCCGCTCGATCTCAGCCAAGCTCTCGCAAGCCCGTCCTGTCAGCTCAAATCTCAGAGACGAATTCAATTGCTAGCTCGATCAAGCCTTTTGGTACGCCCACCCCACTCACTCCGACTCACTCCGAAGCTGTTGCATCGCGAGCCACCCGCGTCGAACCTCAAACGAGTCCTTCTCGTGCATCATCTTCTCTCTTACCCCGGTTTGAAACCGGCTCTCAGCGTTCTCGTACACCTGATACTGATGGTGATAGTATTGGCAATCGACGTGGTCTCAAGCAAATGACACCAGTCTCACCTAGTCCCCTGAAGTTCAACAAAACCAAATCTCCTACCAATAATCTGAAGGAGGCAGCGACCCCCTCCATCAGCCAATTGATCAGTTCTCCACTTCGTTCGACAAACGAAGAACGTCCTTCTACTAGTTCCTCTCTACAACAGCAACCACTACCCACCTTATCTCAATCAGCCAAAAATCCCCCGAGACCAATAAGTTTGGCAGGTGCCGGTTCACCTCGTCATGAAGAAGAAGGATTAACACGGCGAGAAAAATCGTCGAATCCAACAAATGAAGACATAGATTTTAGTATAAGACCTGCGGTAAATGAGGAAGACGAAGAAGCTGAACCACCCAAAGGAACAGTGGAAGCACAACACGATATACTAGCCAACGTTGAAGAAATGTTGGAAGGATTTGAGTGGAGGATGATTGGAACGGCGGTCAAGGGAGTTGATCTGATTGAAGAAAGGCTACTGAACGAACTCAAAGCATTGGACTTGGCTGAAATTCATGCGATAATTGAAAATGATGACCGGGTAGATTTGATTGGAAAAAGTCTTGATGACGGTCTAGCTCAGTTAGATAAGATGGAAGCTATGCTAAGCTTGTATCGAACTCAACTCAATGTGAGTATCTTGAGATATTTCACCTTCAATCATCTTTTGAGAAAATTGAATACTTATATATGTTCTATTCAGCTTGTGAGCGATGAGGTCACGCACATCGAGGGACAGAACAGAGGTCTACAGGTCCATATCAAACCAAAGATCGTTGCTGGAGGAAATCGAAGAACTCATGGTACGCAACTTGACAAATTTTCAATTGATCATTGTCTACGATTCTAAACCCTGTCACCAACACTTTGATTTTGTAGCAAACCGTCCACATTCCACCTGATGTACTGGATTCATTAGTCCGAGAGCCACTTGAGAGGTTAGAGGTGGTAGAAGAGCCAAATAAAGACTTATTCTGGGTCGTATTCGAGTTTCCAAATAGACCAGATGCTAAAAATTGTATATCGCGTTATTGAAGTGGTCGAGATAGAACGACAATCGTAAGTAACTCAACTGGTGCCCGACGAAAATATGCTCTTGGCTTGATCGCCACCAAACGGATTGGCTGCTCAGAGAATGAATAAATCAGTTTTCTAAATTTGAAAGCAAAAGAAAGATTAGAGAGACATACCCATGTTGAGAGCTGAGTGAAGGTGTGGTTGATGATAAAGTTTGATATCGATGTTCTATTGAAAATGATATTTGAGTCGAAGGATAAATGCTAACGCGAGATAGAACTCGACATGCGCGTTCAATGAGTTTATCTCTCGCGGTATTAGCATATTCTCATTTACAATATGCATACAACCTCATACAACCCTTCAAGTTCACCTCCTTTCCTTTCAAGCCTTTTGAAAAATTGGAATTTGAAGCAGGATCAAACACAGAAGACAGGGTTGTCCGTCTCATGGCAAATACTGACAGGACACCAGCTTGTTGTTTCCTGGCTATATATCTCAAACAATCCAAAGGTTGACCTGACTTCACACACAATCTTCAAGAGGAACAAGCGCTGAGGAGTTAGAGCAGCCACTATCTTGAGGGTGTTTTATAGTAAATTTGGTGGTCCTGATTGCAAAATTTGATCATGTGTGTTATAGCTTTGTTAACCACATGAAATCCACTAGGGGGTTTCAAGTTTGGTTTTTTTGTGTAATTTTTATAATTTTGGACATGTTGTTCATCAAAAAACTCTTTGCAAAACCAACATATTTTGAATTTGGGACACCTAAAAAGGTGTCCCGCTTGAAAAAAATTATGTATATTTTACAACAACAGGCAAGTTGTTGTAGCACAGATGTATGTACATAAATATGTAACAATTTCTAACTTGAAACCCCCTACCATGGGATGATGTAAGACAGGATTTAACTATGGTAATCTGTTCTTGAAACACTTTGCACACTAGCGGGGTTCAAGTCAAAATAATTTGGACCTAAAATAAGGGGTTTCAAGTTACAATTTTGTATACGCTTTTTTAAAAAATCGGTCAAGTTTTATACGACAGCGTAAAAGTTTAAACTTGACCGTTTGTAAAAAGCAAGCATGTTGGATGATTATCGTCGTAAAAAGAATCGAAGCGGTGAACCTATCGTTCCAAGCTTTGGCAACATTCTCTTCAAAGACAATGACAAGATGGCCTTCTCGACCAATCTCATGTTTGATGAAGTGGGCAATACCATCATTGAAAAGGTCAAAAGGTTGACCGGATCCTTTTCTTAAGCGTAAATTTACCCTAATTTTAAAACGGGAGACTAAAAAGGTTGTCCGTTTTAAAATTATTTTACGTAAAATTTATAACATCGTCCAAGCTTTTAAAACGTAAAGATACGCAAAAACTCAAACTTGAAACCCCTTAATAGGGGGTCTCAAGTCAATTTATTTAAAACAAAAAACCGTAAAAAAGATTGCCGTCGGAGCATAAACTTAAGTAAATTTTACGAAAACAGGATGAACATAAAGGTGTCCCGTTTTTGTAAAACACATACTTATGACTACAGCGGAAAACCCGAACATAACCCGGAGGTTTTAACCCTCTAAATCTGGTGATAAATCAGACCCATAAACCACTCAAGCCCCTTTTCTCAATCGCAACCAACTCAATCTATTTGATTGATCAATACCTACACTGTCTACCTCCTTTTACGTTTCAACCATTGCGATCATTAACATCCCAGTTGCTTTGCTTGACCCTGTTTGTTTGACTCCGTTCTACAATTCGGGGTCTCGTGTTCTACTGGGAGGTTTTTGATCGTTTGGTTCGATTTGTTCATCGTGGTTCTTGTGGAAGCTTGTTTGATTTCGCTCTTAGTGTATTGGAACATCATCCATTATCACTCAACTCCCAAACATATCAATTTTGAAATCAACATCGAGGTGAGTTTATATCTTTTTATCCACTGTTATCGACTACTTACCTATGATTCTATGCCATCAGTCAAGATGAAACCTTCATCATCCAAGCCAACTATCACTCGGAATCGTCGCAGTAACGCCGAGGTCAAGGAAGATAACACCAAAATGCTCAAAGAATTGAATCTCCCGCCTGATACCAGAATAACGACTGCACTCACTCGCAGGTCTAAAGCTCAAAAAGCCAAGAACATACCGGTTTCAACTTCCAAAGTTCCTGTAATCACTCCCTCTATACTTCCACCACGAGCACCAGCACCTCCAGTTGTACGAGCACCAGCACCTTCGGTTGCATCCCAAAAGCGACCTAACTACTCGACAGTTTGAGCTCAAAAGCAAGAAGATACTAAAAACCCACGACTGGATGATGATGACCTTGCTTTTCTTATCGACCATATGAGTGTTCCGACTAATCATGCCAAGTTTATGGGTTCTGGACCAAAGACGCAGGTTGGTGGGCTCAGCCGTGGTGCTGAATGGAATGCGCTGGCTGCAATGGTTAACATTAGGCACAACAATCGTCTTCGAGTCACCAACACTTCTAGTCCAGCCAAGTTAAACATTGACAGTGGCGAATTGGCAAAGAGATGGAGTTGAGTTAAAAATAAATACATAGATACAAGGAAACTTTGGAAGGAAACTGGTAATGGATTAACGGATCAAGACATTGCTGACGGTTTCATAACGGTTGAACAGAAGCAAGAGGCTCAATGCCCAATGTACAAAGAACTTGATCTTCTTTATGGTAGCAAAGCAAATGTTACAGCCATATCTAGTTATGACAGCACCTCAACTCCTGTACACAAAGCATCTCCACCCAAATCTCCATCGCTCAATCTTCAAGAATTCAGATCAACTTCTCAACATTGATTGCCTGTACATCAAGAAGAATCCTTTATTGAATCACACCAAGATGACCTGTACTCACCTGTACTTAATGAAGATATCTCATTTGAGAATCTTATTGATTCACACCAAGACAATCTCGACTCGACTGGACTTCAAGAAATGAATTTCTTTGATTCAAACCAACTCAATCTAATTGGAAACAATCACAAATTACATCATCTTAATCCTAATCCTCAATTCAACCGTGTGAATGTCGAGTCTCAGTTCAACAACCCAAACATCCCAATCACTAGTAAGTCACTTCTTACTCAGTTGACTACTGTCGTACCTAACCTTTTCCATACCTTTTCCTTTTGTTCAACTATAGATCATACATTATTCGATTTTGGTTACAACCAAGCCGGCTTGAATCAAGCACAAGATCAACTGGATCAATTTAATGATGAACATCAAGAAAATCGATTTCCAGATAATCAATTCAATGAAAATCAATTTGATGATGACCTTCAAGAGAATCAATTGAATAACAATCAATTTAATAATAATCAATTTGATGATGACCTTCAAGAGAATCAATTTAATAATAATCAATTTGATAATAATCAATTTAATGAGAATCAATTTAATGAAAATCAATTTAATGATGAAGTTCAAGAGAATAGATTTAATAATAATCAATTTAATAATAATCAATTTAACGATGAACTTCAAGAGAATGAACTTCAAGAGAATGAACTTCAAGAGAATGAATTAAAAGAGAATGAATTAAAAGAGAATGAATTAAAAGAACAAGATGATCAACTGAAAGAGAACAATCCTCAACCAAAGACCAAAAAGGCTTGACAAGCAACTTTAAGTTTGGCTAAGCAACCAGCAAAGCCTCTACCTGCTCTCAACGCAAATGAAGTAAAAAAAAAACAAACCGTCGACAGTGCACTCAAGCAAAGCAATTCCGAGCGATTGAGTTTCTACAAGGAACAAATCAACCTTGCAAGTATCAAGCAGGACGAACGAGCTCAAATTGCAAGTACAGCAGCAGCAGACGCATTAACATTTGAAAAAGAGAAGTGGAAAACTCAGCAGGTACACAAAGACGCAAAGAGCGCGTCTGAGGCAGCACAACTTTTCCAGATTTCTCAGGCAACTCGTGATCATGAAGATAAGAAAGCACAGCAAGAGGCGATTGAGCGTTGTCGCAAGGAAAAAATGCCCATGGAAGAAATCAAAGAGTACATCAATTTTCTTTTTCCACCTTCTGACAACGCTTAGAACAACATTTATTATAAAAAGGAACCTTACTCAGCCAAATCTAAAACTTATTGAGTATCACAAATATTATTTTCTTTAATCTTTTCAAATAAAAATGTCCAGTAACTTTCCAAAAAAAAAATGTTTTCTTTTCTTTACTTGTCAGAATGGTTCTTAAAAACATGTATTAATATTAAACACTTCTTTCCTTTGAATTTGTACCATTTAAACTTGTTTTAACAATTGTATTGAAGTAATGCAAATTAAGTATCTATGTTGTTGAAAGCAACAGCATAATCACGCACTGCCTCTTGTCGAAGATACCCTAGATCGTCCTGTCCAATGCCTGCGTTAACATCAAGATGTAAACTTGGTAATCCCACAGGGTCATCTTCTTCTTCATCATATTCATCTTCCCACGTATCTCCAAGTTGAGCTAACATATTGTGTAATAGAATACAACATCGGATCCAATCAATGATTGGATCCATATCTTTTTCCTCATTCAATCCCAATCAGATTTCGCGCAATGATCCAAATCGTGATTTCAAAATACCAATCTATACCAATTGCATGCTCGTTACAAACTCGAGCTTGTGCTACATAAGTATTAAACTCGCAGTTTCGTTCTTGAAGTGCAGCGGCGCCTTTGTAAGTTGCTACAAGTGTGTTGCTGACTTGATATGCCGAGTCAGCGAGCAAATATTCATCTGAATAAGAGGTCAGCTGATTATTTGAAATAGGAACTAATTGAGATTACTAACCTTCAGAGAAATGCTGCCCAGAATTGGTGGCCAGATCCATCAAAGCATAGCATTTGTTATCGTGGCATGATCCAGGCCAACCAGTATACAGCGCTGTGATCCTTCGATCACAGTCGCAGACAATTTGCGCGTTGATAGAATAGCGTTTCTTGCGGTCAAACCAAGTTTTGCCATCTATCCCAGGTCTTTGATAGAGCGGGAAAGTAGTCCCATCGACGAAGCCTTCCAAGGCCATTACCTGAGAGATTTCCTTTCGCCGGTCACAATCAGGCCATTTGAGATAATCGGCAGCATACTCATTGATGGCCTGAATGCACCGGCGTGAGCAATTAACTACTGCTCCAGATGAGAGCTTATAAGTTCGGGCTAAACGGCCTAATGAAGCGCCATTTCCTGCACTGCCCAATTGCTCCAAGGTAAGAGCAAGCTGCTTGGCGACAGGCAGTTGTGGATTGTTAGATGTTGAGAAAAAGATCGGGTGACCAATGATGAGGTCAAGGATGGCATCATAGCCAGCTCTTGTGGTTCGCATAGCTTGTTTGAACTCAAATGGCCGATCACGTAGAACATTGTTGATGTTGAAGTCATCCTCGAAAGGCATCTTCCATCGAGGTTCGTGGTATCTCATCTCGGTGACCAGCTCCAAGAGGTCCTCAAGCTCATCTTCTGCATTGAAGATGAAGTCGAATATCAAAGCTGATGGTTCTTCATCTGGATAAATTAAACTGCCCATTGAAGGGGCCATTCTTTGCCCATAAGTCACCGCCTGCATTCTTAACTCATGAGCTTCATCGCAGGCGGATTGATACCATTGCTCTATGATGTTGATTGTTCTCTGACGTTCGGAGATTCAAACCATGATGATAGATCTGGAAGTTGCAGGAAGTTGTTGTTGACCAAAGAAGGTTTGACCTTCTTTGGTCAAGCGGGTGCTTGGGTTGACCAACTGTAAAAACCCGCAGACTCTCATTTTACCGCTCGGTAGCCTACAGCGGCAAGAAGTACATTAATTTTACTTCATTTTTACGACAGATTTTTACTACAGCGGAAATCTTTTTTTACAACAAAAACATAAAAAGATTTCTGCGTTAAAAAAAATCTGTCGTATTTATTTTGACTTGACACCCCTTAATGGCTTTTAGACGTCGCTCAAAGGCTGTAAATTATAACTCACGTTTTATGACTTGTGAGTAGCTTTAGAGCTACTTGCGAGGTCTAAAATTATACAACAATGCCTATAATTTTAAGCCAATCAGTTTGTTTTTCAGATCGAGAAAAAAATACTGTCTTTTTTTGTTTCAAGAAAAGGCGTACGAGTAGTTTTTTTCCTCCCTAACGGCCGTTTTTTCGTTCTTCTCTCTTGTTGAGTCCATAACAGCAGATAAAATGCACTTTTTTCCAGCACTTGTACCTTTGTCTCAAAGCTTTTCTTCTTCTCGTTATAAGACGTGGTGGCCTATCTTTAAACCATTCTTACGACGTCCCAGTCCGTTTTAGGTAAAGTTTGTCCTAAAAACTCTCTCGGATGCTGTGAAATTCCTACTTGGAATTTTTGACTTGAACCCCACTACTATGGCAAAGTCAAGACTCTAAATTGAAGTATGTTATAACACACCACATACAACTGACTATTATGTGATGACCACCTTGCTGACCAGACAGAATCAAACTGAACTTCAAGTGTTGACAATGAGCAACAATCTTTATTGCCTCTTGTTTGATCTGATTCTTGGTGAAACCCATTGTGTGTGAGCACTTTTCCTTACAAAAATTCTCTTTTAGATTTTTAACAAGTTCTGAGTAAGTAACAACTATTGGTGTACTGACATTGTAAGACCAGAGGGAATATGTTGAGTAAAAGTGATGAGTGCAGAGCTGGATGGATGTGGATGGATTGCTGTCGACTGATTTGAATTCGATGGGCCAAAAGTCTATGATGAATCATGTTCTAGACACAAGCTCAAGGGATTTTGACAATCTCCTTCTTGTGTTCATTCCAATCATCTCCATACATGAGAAGGGGACTGGCCAAAATTACTTTTCCTTGTGTCACCTTTTCATACATCTCTTCTCCCCTCAACTCAAACTCACTGTCCTTATCCAACTCCCTGTAATAATTGTTATCATCAGCTTATTTTATTGTTACTTGGTTGTCCACATTTTTTTATCAATGATCAATATCATCATTACAATATCATTCTTGCTACAGTCAAACCCGCGCAAATGCATACCCGCGCAGCTGCATAACCTGTGATAATGCATAAAAAAAATCTTGAATCTTGATACGTTGTAGAACTCCTACGCTGTGGAGCGTAGGCAGAGCCTCAAGGGGAAGAAACAACCCAAGTAGGATAAACCGCCAACAGCCGTAACCAAAGTGCCGTTAAGCTGCCCTCAAAATACAATGAGACACTTCTTGCCAACCTTACTTTCACCCAAAATAAGCTTCCAACCTTGAAAATCCCAATTTACAAGCTTTTGTTCAGTTTCAAGAATCCCCGTAAAGGTCCTACAGTTCAAAAACAGATGTAAACAAGCTGTTTTTTACTATGTTCCCCAATGCAGTTCTCCAAGAAACTTCCCCACAGCAAGTAAAAAAAATAATAAAACTTTGAAAATCCTCCTAAACCTTGTTCTTCAACTTCTACAGATTCCAAAACTACCCTACACACCCTAGCAGTCCTAAAACCCAGGGAATTACACTTGTAACAGTGTAATTTACCTTAATACCTTAGGACAAAACCCCCAAGGTAAGCTCAAGTAAAATAAAAAAATGAAATAAAATTGAAATTCCCAGTGTAAGGGTTCCAAAAATCTTCGATAACACTCTTCAATAACCCTTATATTCAAAAATAAAGTGTAAGACTTTATTTTCTCCCTTGTCTCTTTCTACCTATACAATAAAGTAAAAAAAAGAACTTCAACACTCAAGTAAACTTCTTTCTTTACTTCCTTTACTGTCTTTTAGAAACTCGGAACAAAAGAAGAAAAAGAACTCTAAGACTCGATAACGGTCACTTAACAACACTTCAATAGCACACACAACTTCAACTCGATCGATTGATCTCTAAAACTACACACACTTGTGAGGGCTGGGTGCTCTTTGTAGGAGTAATCAGTGCTCACTGAAGCGTAGAATGGTAGGTTTATTAAATTTAACTTCTTTATTTCAAATATGTAATAGTTACAAATTGAAGTAAAGAAGGAAAATTAAAGAGAAGAAAGGGGACTGACAGTCTGTTTGGACAAATCCAGACAGACTTCAGTTAATTGACTCCTAAAAAGGAGATTTAGTAATTATAATATGA